TAAAACAAAAGTGGCCTAAGTTACTCCTTATAACATCTGCTGTCTGTCATTGAAAGTTCCATCAAAATCGGTCCAGCCATTTCGGAGATTATCCGGAACAAACATACAGACAGACAGACAAAAAATTTAAAAATTGTGTTTTTGTTATAAGTACAATATATACTTCCATATGCATTTAAAGAAAAGTTGTTATTTTGACATTACAAACAAACACTCAAATTTTATTTACTTGTATAGATATTAATTTTTGTAAATATTAAACTAAAACAACTAATTCGATCGCAGGTATTCTTAATTTGTTTATGAAACTAAAAACGCAGCGCTACCTACCGTTTGTTACTTAGGTAGTAATTTTAAATTTAATACAAATTAAATAAAGACGGTCAGAAAGTTAACAAAAAATTGAATTGCTTTGTTTGTCAATTATTAATCTCAAATGATCTTAGATTTAAATCAATAATGATTGCATATCTGTTTGTCGATTATTGATTTCAAATGATCTAAGATTTCAATAAATAATAATGTCAACTGTCTTTTTTGTTGACTGTTTTTGGCATTTAAAAGTAATTGGAATATTTATGTATTTATTTAAGAGATCTCGACTAAAACTTGTCCCAGCAAATAAACGTTGACTATTACAAGAACACAAGCAAAAATAAAATAGGTTTTATTGTTTTTAGGAGAAATTTGGTGTCTAGTCTAAGTAGGCGCAGTAAACTCGCATAGAAGCGTAGGAGTTTGTTACACCAGAAAAACCACCTGACTCTATAGAGGGTAATCCTACCAGACTTGAACCACAATGCAATACAATACCCCCTAATGCTGAACAGAAAGATGCTGAAGCAGTTAACACTTTAGCTGAAGTGAATGAAGGTTTCAGTGGCTCAACTGAAGTAATAGGAGTACTTGAAGTTCGTATGTCCTCAAGTTCTATGTCTATATCTCTAATGACACAATTTTTATTCATTTTATTCGGAACAATTGTACAATTGTCATCGTAATGTACCAGTGGTTAAAAAAATTCTCAAAAGTGCGAGGATGCAACTTGTTAACGCATTATCATGCACTATACAAAATTGTTTTACTAATTGTGAAAAGAGTTGCACTATACAAAATTGTTTACTAATTGTGAAAAGAGTTAGCCATAAATATTTGATTTCGCGTATTCCCATTTTCATTTTAATAAAACAATAATTAAATCAGTTACTGTGAAGATAATATTACAAAATTTCATGAATGTTTGTGTAGTATAGATTGGTCACATGTTTATAGTGAAAATGACATAAATATTGCATTTGATAAATTTCATGAACTATTCCCGCTAATGTATGAATTGTGCTTTCCTCAGACGCGCATAAAAATTATGAACAAACCATCTAAACCTAGGTGGTTGACTAAAAGTTTAAAGGTTAGTTGTGTTGTGTTGTGTTAGTTTTTTCATATACATTTTATCTGAAAAATATTAATAGTAATAGCATTGATTCGACGATTGCAAAAATAAGCTGTTCGTTTGAAGGGCATTCCGACAAACTTATAAATTTATTTAAATATATGCGCTGCAATAGGGCTCTTTGTTATTTATAAATAATTTGCAAATTGAAGAAGAAAATAAGTAATTTGGTGGAATAAAAAATTGGTGCAATAGCCTAAGAACAGAAAAGTTAGTTAATAAGAAAAGTTTTTACAGAAATTATCTTGACACTACCTACCCGGATCCCATGGATATATAGTTAATTCCTTTTAACAATGAATAAGCAAATACGCTGTAAGTTAGATAAAAGTATTCTAACGAATTTATTAAAAGCTTATTGTTATAGATCGTGACTGCTCGTCATGTGGTTTACCACATTGCAGATCGGTAACGACGATTAGGGGTTTTTATTATACAACAGTGATGACCATTTTTTTTAAAATATATTCTCGATAATTTCAACAGGAAATTTATATCATATTATATATTCAATATTAAGGATGGATTTTGTCATAACTTCGAGATTTCTTTTTCACTAGACCCAAAATTAGAGTTCAATGAATTAAAAAAAAAATATTCATACACAGTTCACAAGATAAAAATTTACACACAAAAATTAATATATTCTTCAAATGAGGCATAAGTTTGCTTAGATATATATATATATATATATATATATATTTATATATGAGGAAAACATAATGACTACTAGTTTTCAATAGTAGCTTATTTAATTGAGCCAGTAAATTTAAAATAAAAGTTTTATATAGATATAAGGGCTATTTCATATAGAGATGAGGATCTCTCTATATGAAATAATCGTTCTATATATTTTTTTTTATTATTTATTATTTACTACGTGGTAGAGCCATGCTGTAGCTATATTAGTAGTATAGTTGTAGCACGAATGGGTCGACTCGACCGGAAAAGGACCACGCTCTAACAGGATAGCAACGTAAAATAGCAGCTTAACGCTGCTGTGTTTCGTATGGTGAGTGTAGAGAACCGGAGACCCTTTTTACTGGAAACGAGGCATTCCATCTTAGTCCTTACGGGTGACAACGCATCTGCATTCTGGTTCGTAATCGAGGATAGATGTAGATTTCTATGGGTCGCAGCAATCACTTACCATCAGGTGGACTGTGTGCTCGTTTGTCACCCTTATCCTATAAAAATTATAAGGTAGTTAAATAAAATAGACACTTTAATGAAAATTATTGGGGCGAAGCGTAGTGCGGCCCTCTTTTCCCTAAACACGATGCAATTTTTTATTGCAATTTTCAATCAAACTATTTTTTTAACTTATAATAGGCCTGTGCTTGACTACACCTGGTGGTAAGTGGCGATGAAACTCTAGATGGTAAATCGCAATGTTTTAGCATAACAAAAACCTATTCACTCTTGCCTTTGTGACGCTCAGATTGCAATCGGACGAAAGACAGACGTCGGCAGATTATTCCACTACTTTGCTGTACGTATTACGTAAGACAAAACAAACCGTTTGGTTCAAATGCGTGGAATATCGACAACAAGGGGGTGAAGATCCGCCGACTGCCTTCGTTCGTATCCGTCTTCGTTAGTAGTAAGGGAGGGAGGAATTAAAGCATAGAATTCCTTCGCACACTCACGGAAATGCATCATATATAATACCGAGAGGCTGGCTGCTCTGCACCCGTGATTGCGGCTAACAAGATTCTTAACACAGATAATCTACGTAGTGTGAACAGTGTATAAATTTATTTTTATATCTCCAGCTACACACGATTCAGTATATGTAAAAAAGATGTAAAAAGAGAATTACAAGTTTGACGTTTAATGTCATTCTGTCCTCTATGGTGGCACTACTTTGGAGTCCTGGAGTAGAAGTGCGGTGATCTTGTTCTTCAAGAAAGGTGAAAACGGTCTTTTGAAGAACTTAAAGCCAATTTCCCTTCTGAGACGCGTCTACGTGTTGTTTTTAGAAGTCATTACGAATCGTCTCGCACGCAAACTCGACAACTTCCAGCCTCCCGAACAAGCTGGTTTTCGAAAAGGTTTTTTCACCATAGACCACATATGTACATACTCTTCGGCAAATTGTACAGAAAACCGAAGAGTACAATCTAACAAGTTGATTTACGAAAACGTTTTAGCATCATAGATCATATACATACCCTTCCGAAAATTGTACAAACGACCGAAGAGTACAATCTGCCAGGTTATCTTGCGTATATGGACCATGAAAAAGCCTTTGATTCCGTCGAAATTTGGGGGGTGCTGCAGACGCTTCAGCTAATATGGCTATCTGAGTAGAAAATCAGGTACGAAACCTATCCAACGGCAGAGAGGTGTAAGACAGGGTGACGTAATATCCCCGAAACTTTTCACGGCTGCATTGGAAGACGTTTTCAAGCAGGACTAGAAAGGATACGGTATTAACATCCATGGTGAGTACATCACTCACGTTTTTGCACTCACCGATTTTCTGACGATATAGTCCTTATAGCAGAATCGCTGGAGGACCTAAGCACTATGCTCAATGACCTCAATAGTGCCTCCCAACGGATAGGTCGGTAACGCCCATGTCATACCTATGCCGGTAGGTAATTGTTGGGAGCCCTAAGCTCGAAGTTGTGGACGAGTATATTTACGTGGTACAATTAGTCCAACTAGGTAAGTTCAACATCGACCGACAGGTCAATCGACGGATTCAACTCGGCTGGGCAGCGTTCGAGAGATTACGATTCATCTTCTCGTCAGGTATACCTCAAAATTTGAAAATGAGATTGTACAATCAGTGCGTGTTGCCAGTGCTGACTTGAGGATCTGAGACGTGGTCCTTCACTGTTGGTCGTATGAGACAGCTCAAGGTTGCTCAGAGGCTATGCTCGGGGTGAGGATATTTCACAGTAGAACCAGAGCAACTGAAATAGCCCAACGGATTAGTAAGCTGAAGTGATAATAGGCCGGCCATATAGCTCGAAGAACCGACAACTGATGGGGAAGAAAGGTTCGCGAGTGGCAAACCCCGTACCGGTAGGCGAAGTATGTGGCGGAGATAGAGTGACGACCTGGTAAGATATGCAGGAAGTCAATGGATGCAAGTGGTTCAGTACCGTACTTTGTGGCATTCCTCGGGGGAGGTCTATGTTCAGCAGTGGACTTGTGAAGGGCTGTAAAGACGATGATCTTAGATGTGTTCCGTACTAATGTAAATATTATGTATAGTTCAACCGATTTTTTTCTGCAACTTACCGCAATTTTTATTTTTATTTATTTATTTAAAAACTTTGCTATTCTAACCATAAAGCTCTTATGTTAAGTTCTTTTGTGTATATTAAAATATATTTTGTGTGTATTATTTGCTTTCACTAGTATTAAAGTAATGCCCGTCATTTTATTTTGTCTAAAATATATAACTAGTAGTTTCGACACTACTGTCTTGATGTTAGTTCATGCATAGGTAGGTATATTTTTCAGGAAGGTGGATTTTTGAACAGGAATTTATACCACATTTATTTATTTTATTATATTATATTTATTTATTTTTACATTTAAATTTTATCCTTATAAGGATTTTTTAGATTTGTAACACTATTTATTAAGATTATAAAAAGTTTATACACTAATTTCGTCGATTTAATACATTTTTATAAGTACTTAAGCCTTTAATTTAAAAAACCTTTATTTGTATAAAACAACATCTTTTTCTAACGTATAAAAATATTATATATTTTATATACAGGGTTATTTTGCAATAACCGGCCAAATTTGAAGATAATGTTCAGAATAAGTAAGTTAGGCAAATGGTGAAGAAAAATTCATAAAAAAATCTCAAATACTCTGTCCTTTTTATCTTCTAAATTCAAAACGCGTGGTAATGTAATATTTTACCGGATTATACTGCGCACGTGCACGCGCACATACGTAAGCGTCGATCGGTAGGCAAAAACGTTGTTGCCCGTAAATCACATTCAATTTGGGATAATTTGAAATAAAAGTAGAAGCCTTATTTACTCGAATTTTCAAAAACTAAAATAACGGTACATCATTATATATTTAATTGAACTTAAGATTAAAATTTTGTTACTCTTTGAAAAATAACCCTGTATATTATAATCACTCATTAAATTATATTACATTACGCTTCAAATGCGGGTGCAGTTCCGAGCAAAACATAATTTAAAATTTAAAATATTGTACAACCGACTTCAATATAAATTGTTAAGAATAACTCAAAAACTATTGGTCAAGCCTTGATCAATTTATATGGGACCACATGAAAAGCACTAGCTTTCAAATAAAAAAAGAATCATCGAAATCAGTTCACCCAGAAAAAAGTTATGAGGTAAAACACACAAAAAAAAGAAGAAAAAAACATACAGTCGAATTGAGTAACGTCTTCTTTTTGAAGTGCGTAAAATAAAAGCGACAGTTGTTGATGCCACGACTGAATGTCAGTTTTTTGTGAAATTTAATTGCAGAATGTTACGAAAGTCTAAGCGTACTTGCTATAAACCCCACTGGTCATTGGCGTTGCGTCGCTGACTTTAGTACTCGGCCACGTGTAGGAGACACCGCAGCACTATGCTCGGAATTCTACCTTATTACTGCTTAACTTTATATAATTAAAAAAAAAAAACGGATATAGTTCCGTTCTACGGACACCTGCGATTTGGACCAAAATTTTTTTACATGTTTATCATCATAAATGATGAAAGACTCCAAAGGGAGTTTTGGCGCAAATGCCCCTGAAATTTTTACGAGGGTTTGAAGTTTTAGATTTTTAAGGCAGTATTTTTCATGATAAATCGACTAAACTTCACTTTTTTACACAGGAATATTGACCTAAAATTACTTCTACAACGGCTTCGGCGCTGCGGGAAGTGCAGTTCCTTCGCCCTTGCGTAGCGAATCACAGGCACCCGTGCTCACCTTCTCAGCTTCGGCTTATTACCAGTTACCAGCCTCAGCCTCTACGGCTCGCACAGGTGCCTGCGACTTGCTACGGCGGGCGGGGGCTGCTCTTCCTACGCGCCTACGGCTTTACAAAAACACTCTAGGAGTAGGGCAGACAAGACTACGTGGAGTCGGGGCGTGCTGATTCAATTTTAGTACAGATTCGATCAGATCAGATATCTTATCATTAAACTCAGGTTGCCTTCTCTCCCGCCATAACCTTCTAACCTATTACAACTGAAAGTATTTCTGAGTGTTCAAGTATGTCTGGGCAGTTTTAAACATTTCAGAAATAAAACACAGTATATTATAATAGTAAGTAGTAGTAAGTAACTTTGGGTCAATAGTTCTGTGTAAAAAAGTGAGGTTTAGTCGATGTATCATGAAAAACTGCTTTAAAAATCTAACTTCAAACCCTCGTAAAAAATTTCAGGGGCCTTTGCGCCAAAAATCCCTTTGGAGTTTTTCATCTTTTATGTTGGTAAACATGTAAAAAAATTGGTCCATATCGGAGGTGTCCCTAGAAAGGAACTCTACCTAAAAAACCTTAACTATTTAATAACACAGGTACAATAATACAACACTAATTTGGCAAAAGTAAAACAGGTGGTTGTTAATTAAAATAATTGTAAATATAGGTTTTGAAAAGGAAAAGTGAATAATTATATTTAAGAACTCTAATATTAATCTCGTAGCATTCTTGGAATATCGATATTTCAAATATTATATTATTTTATATGATTTGACTATTAATCTTTGAGTGTCTTATAATTGCCTTCGTTAAAAATTATGTTGATATTATATTGATATTGGTTTAAAAAAATATTTAACAAATATAACATATATGAAAACGCCAAAATATTAATTTAAAACACTATACACACAACGTTATAATAACATTTATTTAATACGTATTGTATGATAATAATTATTTTTAATATAGACTATGAAATTAATTTGTACTTACAAAAACTGAAGTAAGTAATTGCTTACATGCTTTAATAAAAAAAAATTGTAAAAGGTATTCAATATAAAAAAATAAGCGAAAAAGGAGGATCTCAAATATGTGTATCAAAGAGAAATGTCACTATCGCGTTGATGTATGTATGTATATGTACACGTATGGCAGTGACGTTTATATGTTTACCATTTTGCTACGAGATTAGAAATACGAGCTAACCCATTATAATGGGGTTGTTATTATTCCGCAAAGTAACGCCTGATTCTATCAATACGAGCTAAAGTAATGTTACAGCCTATGCATATACCACTGCTGGGTACAAGCTTTTTCTCATTACATAAAAGATCCAGCCGGTGAGGTACCAGGGCTCTTAATCCAAGTTTGAGTAATTAAATCCAAAATCCTGAGTTATATAAAATAATACAGTCCATTTCACAGTGTGTTGAACATACAAAAACTAAAACGATTATGTAATTAAATAATTATTTTAATTACATATTTAAAATAGTGTCTATTATCTGATAAAAACTTAGCTAGCTGTCCAGCGCCTCATTTATTCAGCGCTACATACACGCACACACACACACACACACACACACACACACACACACACAAAAACACACACAAAAACACACACACACACACACACACACACACACACTCAAACACATACTAACCAAATAACGATATTGATTGGTAGAGAAACTGCCTCCTGACATAGAGAGTATCTTAATTCAGGAGTCATGGCATCAATAAATTGTATTTTAATTCTGTTTTCAGTAAAGATTTATTAAATAACATTAATTTAAATCACAGTAATGCTATTTTGATATGTAAATATACAAACTGGTTTTTTTAATTAAACTGAAATACAGAATATATCTAATTCCAATTGTTTTTTTGTATTTTGAAATAAATTGTTCCACAAAACAATTATTATTTAAATACATGTTATGTTATTTTAAAACTAGTAAAACCTACATAATACAAATCTTAATAATTAACAAATTCGGAATAATTTCACTATACTGTTATATCTCTATAATAACTTGATAAAATATATACAATATTTACACAGTACATATATTTAATTTTTCTAGTGCACTTTGTCGTCAGAAATTGTAAATGCTCCATTGCACGGTGAAGAGTTGTTAGGTCTGTAAAATAAAAAAAAAAAATAACATTACATACTTATGTAAAATGTCCTTATTATTTAAGTTAAAATCACCCAACATTAACGTTTTATGATAAGTTTCAAGTTTTCAATAAATATTTTCAAGAAAGAGTTTAGTTATATGTTTTTTAAGGATTAGGGGATAAACCACATATAAGTTTTAATATCTTTTATTAATGCAAATATCCACAAGGACTCAGATAACATAGAAGTAAAACGTTTCGATATCGCTACAAAAACTGCACCTCCCGATTTATTGCTGTTAAAACTGCCAGGCTGTCGATTACGCATATAAACTAAATAAATCATCATCATTATCATTACAGCCCTTCAAAATCCACTGCTGGATAAAGGCCTCACTCGAGGAATGCCACAAGGTACGATCCTGAGCCACCTGCATCCATCAACTTCCAGCATGTCTCACCAGGTCGTCACTTCATCTACTGGGGGTCCGCCCAAGACTTCGTCTACCTGTAAGACGTTGCCACTCGAGAACCTTTCTTCCACATCTGTTGTCGGTCCCTGAAGCTGTATGGCCGGCTCATTGCCACTTCATCTTACTAATTCGTTGGACTATGTCCGATGTAGAACTAGAGTAACCGTACTCTAGTTCTACATCGGATATCCTCATTTCTAGTTAATCATGCAGATACACCCCAAGCATAGACCTCTTCATAGCTCGCTGAGCAACCTTGAGCTTCTTCATACGTCCAGCAATGGAGGACTACATCTCATATCCGTAAATCATCACGGGCAACACACACTGGTTGTACAATCTCATTTTCAAGTTTTAAGGTATACCTGACGAGAAGATGTGTGAGATGTTTATCTCGGTCGAAGTTGCATTTACCTAGTCGGGCTATGTATTTGTCGAAGGTATACTCGTCGACAACTTCGAGCGTAGTGATCTCAACCAGTGGCGTAGTTTAGGGGGGGGGGGGAGCAGAAGGGGCCTTGACCCCGGGCGGCATACGAAAGGGGGCGGCGGCAAGCGCCATGACTTTTTCAATTTGAAATTAAAAAAAAAAAAATTCTAAATCGCGCCAACACAAGGATGCAAAAGAGAGGAGGCGAGATGAAGTCGAATGCTGTCGAAGTGCTAGCGACAACCCAGTTATTCAGGCACTTGTCTTACTGCCGGCGATGAGCGAAGCCAGTTGTGAGAGAAACTTCTCCAAAACTAAAGTTAATAAAAATTATCTAATTTTTAATCTAATTTTTTAACTAACAGTAACAGAAATAATTAATAATACTAGGCATCCTGTAACATACATGTTTTATTCTATCCAAATTGATGTCAAGTGCTGTTGATTAGGAAAATTTTTGTTGATAACCGCTAAAGGTGGCTACTTTTGGCGGTATTCAACGACTCTCTTATCAAATGCAAAATTATAAAAAGTGATTCCAAAAATACTACAGGTAATTTACTAGTCAAATTAAGTTTTAGATTTTTTCTAATTTGATTTGATTTAGGAATAAAAGAAATAAAATAATGGGTGGCCCTAGTTGGCTCTCGTCTGCCCCTTAAGTATTACTTGTTATTTCTTTTAATTTTATTAAGTTATATTTTCTACTCTAGTTATACTTTTTTGCAAAAACTGTACAGGTTGCTAAGTGGTGAACACTATGTATAATTTAGGAACACTCAATTGCAAATAAATACTTGAATACTTGTTATTATTATTTATTGTTGTATGTGCCTAGTGTTAAGTTATTAAAGTTATGCCCTGTAAACATTCTGACATTTTAAAAGATAAACTTCCTGTGGGTTTCTTGCGCCTTCTTCCCATAGATGTATGTGCCTTCCGCAAAAGTGGTAGTTTATCCTGATTTTCAATATTTGTACGATTTGTATAAAATATTTAACATTTAAACTTATAATTAAGATACCCGTATGAAAAAAACATATACTGTCAAAATAAAAACATATACTGAAAAAATATATTCGGAAAAAATAGCTACAGTTTTCATTATATGATTCACTATATGAGTAAAAGTACATTATACGAATATATGGTAGATTATATTGAAGTATATATTTTAATTACAGATTTTTATATGTTAATTATATATTTAGAGCCGGGTGGCATCAGAGGCAGCTGAACTGAGTAAGTGGCTCTCTGAGAGATGACTACATATTTGTCCATTTGCTGTAGAGTCTATCGGTCCGTGTGGTCCACGTGCGGTGAAGTTCCTAAAGGAACTCCATCCGCGGCTGGTCGTTGCTGCTGGTGATAAGAGGGCTGGTTCTTTTCTCGCTCAAAGGCTAAGTATAGCCATTTAGCGGGGAAACGCAGCCAGCGTTCTTGGCACGATACCGCGGGGAGTAGGACTATATGATAATTAAGTTGCTACTTTTAGTTTTTCTTATTATCGTTTTTAATATTGTATATAATAAAATATTAATAGGAAAGTTATAATTGCCATATGATTATATATGGTATTGTATATATGGAAGATACATATTATTATAATACTTTAATGAGTATATAATTAATTTATAATATACAATATATTATATTAAGCAATATATTTTAAATATATTTTTATGATACATTGAAAAATATATCCTTACTATGATACTATGTATAATTAAATAAATTTTAGCAGGTACAATTAAGTTGGTCTTTTCCAATCTTTGAAAGCTTATATTATATCTTAGGAAGTAATCATTAAAAGAGAGGTTTAATAATAGAAAATTTTTTTTCACGTCAATTATACGAAATCCACACTTGAAAAAAAATTGTATGTATTTTAAAAATTATATTTCACCATTTTATTTTAAAACATATACTCTATACTATTTTTATACAATTTATAGAATTCAAATTGCCATATATGTTATGTAGATGCCATATAGAGATTATAAATTTAAAATAATATTAAAATACATAATTTTAAATAAATAATAAAATATAAAATAAAATATATAAAAGCTAAAATATATAAATATATATCAAATCCTCAAAAATGTATATATTGATTATATATTTTTCCATATATTTCTTCAGTATATATGGTTTTTTTCACATGGGTGGGGGGCAATTCCAGTCGGCTCGGGCGGCGAAATCCCACGCTACGCCACTGATCCAAACAACTACCGGCATAATAGGTGTGACATGGACGTTACACATGACCTTTGTGTTGTCCATGTTCATCTCTAAACCTATTCGTTGAGAGACACTATTGGGGTCATTAAGCATAGTGCTTAGAACCTTCAGCGATTCTGCCGTAAGAACTATATCAAACCGTAAATACTATACCGTCGGCAAATCGATGGTGAGTGAAGTACTCGCCATTGATGTTTATACCATATCCTTTAGTAGCTTGAAAACGTCTTCCAATGCAGCGGTGAAGAGTTTTGGGGATATAACATCACCCCTGACTTACAGCTCTCTGCAGTTGGATCGGTTTCGTACTCTGAATCAGTACTCGGAGAGTCATCGTAGCCCTACTGTACAAATACTTCAGCACTTCGATATAACGACAGTCAACTTGATACCGCTGAAGGGACTATAAAACCGCCCGAATTTTGGTGAAATCAAAGGATTTCTCTTAGTCCACATACGCAAGGTAAAGAGGTAGATTGTACTCTGCGATATTATGTACAATTTACCGAAGGCTATGTATGTGGTCTATGGTACAAAAGCCTTTTCGAAAACCGGTTGGTTGATATTTATTTTACTGTAAAAACTTATTATATAAGGTGATAAACAAGAAAGAAAACAGGCGAAAGCGTTTGCATGGAGAAAAGACCACCCGCATTTTCTCTTAAGTACTCTAAGAAATTCAGTACAAGATTGGCTAAAATTAATGATATGTGAATGATTTTAAAATTTATTGTCTGTATAATATAAAAAGTTAACTTTGATCATCTCTAGAAGTTGATTAAAGATGATAAAAATTGCGTAGCCACGTCCACCGCGCTCTCTTAATCAGTTTGTTCAATTTCGTCGCTTGCTAGAAACAATCGGCGTCACGGCGTACTGGGTTTTACTTTACTCATGCAATCTTACTTTAACAAAAGATATTTACTTTTTGCTGTCGTTAATACTTGTCGTATTGGGTAGGAGTAAAACAATACCACCGCCAACTGCGCTTAATGCTGCTATCGTCACCATTGGCAGATGTTCGTTCAATGCCGTCTGAAAAAGTAGGAAAAGTTCTTTGTTAATATTGTCATACCTATAACTATGACAGAGTATAAGACAGAGCTAAGATCCTAGAAATTTTGTTATGAATGACAATAAACGATAATACGAATAACAGAAAACTACTTTGTCTTTTAAGGACTGTCGCTAATTATTCTAAGTGACGCATAGTATTTTTAATAAACAATACTTTTGGGTCATAGCGAACAACAATTATAAAATATTGTGATGTCTGACAGAAGAGTAGGTTTTGTAAATGAGATCGTCAATCCCCTTAGAAAGCGTGGGGATTATAAGAAACCTTCTGAACCAGAAAAAAAATATCCAGCTGTGAAATTATTAAGAGCTCGTGATATAACGGCCACGTATATTTTTAGTTTTATACCTATATTTTTAAGCAGAACTTAAAGTGAAGCTAACACTTACCAATTCCCACAGATAGGGAATGCAAATTAACGCCAACCCAGCCGATACTTGACTAGCTCCAACACCCAGGTTTCTTATCAAAGTTGGGTAAAGCTCCGCTGTGAAGATCGGCATCATCATATTCGTAGATCCGATCGCAAACTTTCCGACCATCAGACACGCGATTAGTATCCAATCATCGTCAAAGGACATTGAGAATAATTCGCTTGCAACGCATGCAAGCCCACACACGAGCATGCTGATGAAGATTGGTATTTTTCTTCCCGCTTTAAGTAATATTGGAATGCTCACTGCAATTGCCGGTATTTCAACAACGGCAAGTATAATAGACGTTACGTGTAAGTTGCCTAAATTCAAGTTTCCAATGTTCAATAAAAGTCCGTAGTATGCGATTGTCATAGAAAACCACGCGAGGAACAAACAGAATGTACGCATTAGAAGAACTCCTTTGAAAAGCATAAGTACGCTGGGCTGCTCAGCTTCTGTTTCTGGTTTGCTCATCATAAGCATTTTATCTAGCTCTTCTGGAATTTCACGTCTGTTGAATTTTGCGGCTTTAACAATTATTTCTTTCGCTTCTTGAGTTCTTCCCCTACCTATCAACCATCGTGGTGACTCAGGCAAAACAAACCTAGAGAAGAAAATAAGTTGTTTTAAATAAATTTTTATATCATCTTTAATATTATTATAAACCAAATATATTTTGAGGTTGGATTTTACTTAAATTAAATATCTTTATTTTTTAAAACAATTAAGTATACAAAATTATATTACTATCAGTTTAAAAACATTGTAACGACAACTTATTAACGAAGGAAGAGTATAAAAATGTAAGATTTATATAATTTTTTTTTTAAATTTATTATTTAATTTTGAATTTTATACGATTAATTTGTTCTTCGTTTTACCTTCTTTTTCTTCGTTTTTTTAAAATAATAGTGTTATATTAGAAAATTTGTAAAATTCTGTTAGTATGTGATTTAGGAATTAATTTTGGGGAGTAAAATGAAAAGCCCAAAATATTTCGGTTATTTTTCAGAGTTGCCAAATTTTAAACTTAAGTTCAAATATATAAATAATGATACTCGTATACCGTCATTGCAGTCTTGCAGTTAAAATAAGATAACAGAGTAAATAAGGCTTCTACTTTTATTTGAAATTATTCCAAATTGGATGTGATTTATGGGCAACAACGACGCATACTCACACTCATTTGTGTGCGCTTCAATTCACAATGTTTTGCCGACCGAGCGATCCCTACGAATGTGTGCGTGCGTAGTAAAATAGTAAGCGTTACATATTTATGAATAACAATCTGTTAAAATAATGCATTACAATGAATTTTAAATTTAAAAGATAAAAAGGACGCAACGTTTGAGATTTTTTTAATTAAATTTTCTTTAACTTTCGACTGTATTACTTATTCTGAATTTTCTCTGCAAATTTGGCCGCATATACCAAAATAACACTGTTTATATTAAGAACAAGTATACTTAACTCTTAATCGATTTCTATTAATTGTGAATACCTCTCTTGATTGTATAAGTATACAGTACTAAAGTAAATGAACATTAAAAGTATTTTTATTAGTAAACAAATTAAAAACAATCCCCATTTTGCATAAGATTGCTCTATTTTTCATTAAAATTATAACTCAATTTAAATTATGAAGGCAATTTACACATATAAAAGCATTTATATGCGTTATCCGGTTAATATCCGAATTATGGCATCATTGGCCACTATTATGAAAATTAAAAATTTAAATACATGAATGATATAATCTTCTTTTTTTGCATAATATAATATGCCCACGGTAAAATTTCCGTGTTTCTAAATTTCATAGATACTCGTTCAGTAGTTTTTACGTTAATAATATAGGTAAGTACACAGAGAGATAGACATTTCTAAAAATCATTACTTTGGCTTTAGCATCCTTTATTTATCCCCTAGAATTGTTTTAACATATTAAAATTACAAACATGACTCTTCTACAAGTTTATTATATGGATAGATTATACTTTGAAGCGACGTAATAATTAATCGCAAGATATAATCATTATTTTACACTCGAATAAACGGAATAATGAGTAGAACAACAAACCATTATCACACGTAATTGCTTAAAATACATATGTATATGAATTTAAATTACCATAATATTAACAGCAAACATCCTGGTAGTGATAATGCCAGTTGCAAGTCCCTCCAATTTGGTAGCAGTAGTGACAGTAGTGATACTATTATGTAGGCCAGCGGTAGGGGAAAGAAATTACATACGCCGGCAATCGTCACCCATTTACCGCTGACGAGTTCGACGGAAAGTACGAAGGCAGCGTAGACCACGGACACTGAGACAAATCCCATGATAAGTCGTACTATGATGTAGTGGACATAGGAGCGCACGAACAACGAAAGTATTGCTAATGTACACTGAAGACACAGCATGCCCATTAGGATGCGCTTTCGGCCGAATCTGGAAATAAAGAAACACATTATTTTTGGCTTTTTTTAGAAAACCTCTTCCATTTTCGCCAGACGAATGTCTCGTTCCTATATTTAAAAACGTTTCGTTCTCCCTAACCACTCGTTATATAGTGTAAAAATATATAACAAATTAATGCTTCAATGGCTTACGGCGGCTTAAAATTGTTGCATTTTATTAAACCCCGATGCAAACAGCGTTATATGTCTGACGTGTGTCTGTGTATCTGTCTGTGGCATCGTTGCACCCAAGAGGATGAACCGATTTAGATTTTGTTATTTCTTGTATAAAAGGTGACTTGATCAAGAGTATTTTTAGCTTTGATTAAAGAAAATCTTTTCAGCCGTTTGAAGATCATCAGGTTTTTTTGCTTCAGGGGTATTTAAAATTTCAATTTAAGTTATTTCGGTGTTTGTTGCCGAACGGAACGTAACAGAGAAGTAATAGGAATCATTGTGATGTGTTGCTTGCAATGTATATTTGTTGGGGTCAAATCTTGCAATTGAATTTTAAAGCAGTTATTCTCAACCGATTGAGCTGAAATTTTGCATTTATATGTTTAGTTTGGATGAGAATGCACGGTTAGCTAAGTGACGTCATTCTAAATCCAATATAGTGGACTGCCCAAGATGGCGGACTAGTTATTTTCTATGCACTCCCACGATAAGAGTATAAAATAAAAAGGTTTGCTGAGAAGAATACAAAAATAAAATGACATCACTCTAAATCCAATATGCTGGACTATGTTTTTTATTCACTCCCATGATATGGATATAAAATGAAAGGGTTCCTGAAAGAAATACCAATAAAATGACGTCCGCGTTCAACTTTTATAGGAGTTGATGTACTACTGCCCGACAGTAAGTCTTAACTAATCGACCTACATCCTGGACAAATTCTAACGGCAGCATTGAGTTATATGTACTACGTACTAGAGAAGCTATTCTAAACAAAAAATTTGCACTACTCTATGTCTTCGCGCATGCGTGGGACATAGTAGAATCGCGCATGCGCAGTTGGCGTTGCGCCTGCGCGGTCAGTATTAAATTTAAACTTTAATTTGAAATCTTTTATTATTAGCGCCGCGCCACACTGCATGTATATTGAAACCACATACTAACTAGTAGATTGAAGCTACACTAAATGACACACTGTATGGATTGCAGTACAGTTCAGTTGAACATAGTGTATGTTCGGAATGCGAAATCTAGTACGTAGCACATATATATCGATGAGCGGCGGTGAAAAAAAATCAAATTCGCGGAAAACAGGATAGCCGCCATACTAGTTTTAAAGATTTATAATTCGGAAAAAGTTATAGGGACTGACAAGCACCTGGTGGCGATAAAAAAGTAAGATCGCGGCGGCGGATCTAAGATGGCGATCAATGACCAAAAATGACGCATTTAATAAAATTAACAGGCTTAGAAACATGTCCAGCGATAGCTAAAAAATTAAATAAAAGACAGAAAAAAAATATTTCAGAACAAGCTTCAATCATTCAACAAAAACACGCTTCATCTATGAATAATGTATTATTTTTTCTTAGTATAAAAAGAAAGTATTCAAAGAAATGAAATAGTTTGACCAAATCATTTTCATTCAGCGAAATTGATCAAGTAGTGACGTGTAAAAGGATATAAGTTATAATTATGTGTATATATTATGTAATGTTTTTCTTACTTGTCAGAGATCCAACCGCCTATAACACCTCCGAATCCGACACCAATTAGAAACACTACTTCGGCAAGATTAGTCAACCCCGATCTATCGCAGACTAGATTCCATTCCGATATGATTGTATCTCCGATTTCGGATCTATCAAAATCCCATTGTTGACACTTCTGAAAGGAGTCTAGTATTGGTGCTGTGTGGTTTAAAATACTTTCTGCGGTAATGCCATCAGGTAACACACGGACGTAACAGGCATCGACTGGCTGACTGTAGTTGATCCAGTCCTGTATAGGTAGGCCCGCAAGGTTATCCGGTAACCGACACCAGAACTTTGTTGATTTTACCTGTTTAAATGAAATTAAGCCCATTATTTTTCTACTTCCATCCCGTTAAACTATTAGCGTAAAAACTGTATGTAAGGTAAAAATCAAATATACATGCATGTAAAATAACTTAAATATAAATAATTCAAGAATTGTTTCTACGAATTGATAATAAAATAAAATACAAACTAAAATTAGGTTATAAAACAAATGTTTTGTGTATATATCTAATACAATGCGCGTAATTATAAAATTTAACTTACTGTAAATGTAGGTAAATAAATATGGAATGTGCAGGGAAATGAGAACATGGCAAGAAGGAACGTCATAAGCAGTTGCCAGCGCCCATAGTCACCGATAACAGATGAGACTACGTCGGCCTCGTCCTCCGGCGCGGCGGCTTGGCTTTTTTCTTTGTGCTTTTGACTTGGGATTACTGAAACATAAAGAAAAAATAATTTTTTAGACCTTGTATTGTAATAAGTTGTATTAAAATGTACAAATAGATTTTTGATTTATGCTGTGTGAGTCAGCAAGTACCAATTTTATTTTTTTAAATGCTATAAGTACTGCTTTTTCGAAAACTCTTAAATGTTCTCTGCAGTATAGTTCTAGGCTACAAACGTCCCACAGCTGGGTACGGGAGTTTTTCACTTCTAATTGGGTTTTGGGGTAGTAAAAAGTACGCCACGCAGTGCATGATGGCGAAGTTCATATTATGTCCTAAGAATATATTTTTTATCTATCCGGATTGCAGGTTTCAAATATACAAGTAAAAAAAAATATTTTTACTCCTTAAACTCATTTGTTCCTGAATGTTATCTAATGACTCTTATCGTTACAAATATCTTATGGTAAGCAACCTTTACTTAGAATTACAACCTATCAAAATTTCACTTTAGAAATTAAGCCTCCCACGTATATCACTTGATATTTATTAGAAGAACCTGCTGCCCATTCCTGTACCCTAACCACAGGAGGATATGAGTAGGGTATATTCTTACACTGCCTCTACTAGGTTTGCCTTTACCTTTAATGGAATTATTATAAAACAAACATTTAACGAGGTTTTAATTACTTATTTTTTGAAACAATAAGAAAAAGAGTTTTATCTATTCATTAAAAAATACCATATAATTATAACTATACCCGTATATCTTAACTATATAGGTCTATAAAATACTTGCTGATTCCTGCAAGTTCCACGATATAGAAAAAAAAGTTGTAGGCACGTAAGTTAAACTTGTGTTTTATTACTACACAATTATGCGGTATATGTTTCAAAACAAGAGCTGTTGTTTTGCAAGTTCTGACAATAAACAGATTTTTTACTACATAATCAAGGTTTATAATTGTACTCAGCAACGCGCATTTTGTACTTTACTTAAATCGTATGTTTCCCCAATTCGTCTTCCGTTAATCCACTACAGATGGAACATCTAATTGATTATTGAATGCAACCGTGAGATTGTGTTTCTGCCGGGCTATTCACAATCGTCTCGGAAAGCGAAATCGACTCGGATTCGATAACTTCTCGCACCGAAACCAATAAACGCTATTCACATTTAACGTTCGGATAAAGGTCACTTAGATACATCCCATAACTATCGTATCGTCATTTAGTTAAATGCATTTACGAATTTTGTAGATAAATAGGCATTTTGTATTTTTTAGAGTAACGCCTGAACAAAAACATAAGGCAATATTTTGGTGTTAGCCATTGATATCGAATACAAAAAATATATAATTTAACTATATAATAAATAACAAAAAAACTGAGATATGTCTCGTTTCACAAAGCAGCATATATATATATATATATAAGTATTGCTATATATATATGCTGCTTTGTGATAGAAAACTTATAAAAACACACCTTTCACAAAAATTCAGCTTTATATAGCATTATATGAAAATACGTCCTATAGATAATTGTAATTAATTTTTGTTACCTACCTTATAATCTACACTCACCATACGAAACACAGCAGCGTTGAGCTGCTATTTTACGCTAGTTTTCTGTGAGAGCGTGATCCTTCCCCGGTCGAGCCGACCCTTTCGTGCTGCAACTATACTACTAATATAGCTGCAGCATGGCTCTACCACTAATAAATGTAACTAAATGACGGTACAATAGTTATGGGATGTATCTAAGTGACATTTATCCGAACGTTAAATGTGAATAGCCATAGATTAATGATAAGTCATTGCGCGCTCTGACTAGATACCGCCGGCGCTCATGTAAAATGCGGCAGTAAATACTACCGAAATCGGCGTAGTTGCAGGCAACGTGTGAGGTGAACGTACCGAATGTTTTATTAAATTTTAATCATAATCCGAAGTATAATACCAGTTTACGTATTGAAATTGTGTAAAAATAATACTACAAGAAATAAGAAAGACACTGGAATCACATACTATCATTAAGTATCATACAATTTCAAAATTTTAAGATAAAATAACACGAGCCATAAATAAGTCACCAAATATTAATGACGCTATTCAGTGTTGCCGCGAATGCAAAAATAAAATTCTCTGTGGCTGAGATTTTTATATGTGAATTTATTGTTACTATATTTTATAATATAATATATTTAACCTATTATAATATAACCTAATTCTATAATATTTAATGTTTATTTCTGTAGTATTGCTCAAATGACATAATTGCCTTTTATTAAGGTTCCGTATCCAAAGAGTATCAACGGGACCCAAGTCTCCACTATCGTTCCGTCTGTCTGTCAGTAGGCTGTATCTTATGAACTGTAATATGTAGAATTTTCGCAGAATGTGTATTTATATTGCTGCTATAACAACATAAAATAAAAAAGAAAACAAGTAAAATATTAAAGGACTAATCCAAAGCCCCGAAACCTTTCAGCTCGAGTTACAAAACCGTTTTCAGTGCCTAGAAGACTGCAATGAAGTGGACGATATGAATGACAAGCTCGTGGAAACTGTCCATGCGGTCGGAGCTAAGTTCTGCAAGACCCGCCGCAGAAGAACACAAAAACTCTCCGATCACACACTTAATCTCATGGCTGTTAGACGGGAGATGAAGCTACATTCTTCAACAGACTTGACAGCATACAGACATCTGAACAGACAGATCTCCAAATGCATGCGGCGGGACTTACGCAACTTCAATACAGCTCGTATTGAAGAAGCGATCGAGCGGAACCAAGGCTCCAAAGTCCTTGCCAGAGATCTATCTGCCAGAAAGAGCCAACTGTCAAAGCTGAAGACAGAATGTGGCAGCATCGTTTCCGGGACACCTGAGATTTTGAGTGAGATTGAGAGGTTCTATGGGCAGTTGTACACGTCATCGTTGGAGCCACACGCAAGTGTGAGTAACGATCCAAGAGCGAGTCTCATCCGACACTATTCCGAAGATATCCCGGACGTCAGTCTGAGCGAGATTAGAATGGCTCTCCAGCACCTTAAAAACGGTAAGGCCCCAGGCGAGGATGGAATTACAGCGGAGCTTCTGAAAGCGGGTGGAAAACCGGTGCTTGAAGTCCTTCAGAAGCTCTTTAATTCCGTCCTCCATGGTGGCATTACACCGGAGGCGTGGAGCAGAAGTGCGGTGGTCTTGTTTTTCAAGAAAGGTGACAACGCTCTCTTGAAGAACTACATACCGATTTCCCTTCTGAGCCGCGTCTACGTGCTGTTTTCGAGAATCATTACGAATCGTCTCACGCGCAGACTTGACGACTTCCAGCCTCCCGAACAAGCCGGTTTCCGAAAGGGCTTTAGCACCATAGACCACATACATACCCTTCGGCAAATTGTACAGAAGTCCGAAGAGTACAATTTGCCTCTATATCTGGCGTATGTGGACTATGAGAAAGCCTTTGATTCCGTCGAAATTTGGGCGGTGCTGCAGTCCCTTCAGCGGTGCCAAGTTGACTGTCGGTATATCGAAGTGTTGAAGTGCTTGTACAGTAGGGCTACGATGGCTATCCGAGTACAGAACCAGAGTACGAAACCTATCCAATTGCAGAGAGGTGTAAGACAGGGTGACGTCATATCCCCGAAACTCTTCACCGCTGCATTGGAAGACGTTTTCAAGCTTCTGGACTGGAAAGGATACGGTATCAACATCAATGGCGAGTACATCACTCACCTTCGATTTGCCGACGATATAGTCCTTATGGCAGAATCGCTGGAGGACCTAAGCACTATGCTCAATGACCTCAATAGTGTTTCCCAACGGATAGGTCTTAAGATGAACAACAGATGACAAAACTAAGATCATGTTTAATGTCCATGTCACACCTATGCCGGTAGTTGTTGGGAACACTAAGCTCGAAGTTGTTGACGAGTATGTTTACCTGGGACAAATAGTCCGACTAGGTAAGTCCAACTTCGACCGAGAGGTCAATCGACGGATTCAACTCGGTTGGGCAGCGTTCGGGAAATTACGGCACATCTTCTCGTCAGGTATACCTCAAACCTTGAAAACGAGACTGTACACCCAGTGCGTGTTGCCAGTGATGACATACGGAACTGATACGTGGTCCTTCACTGCTGGCCGGATGAGGAAGCTCAAGGTCGCTCAGCGAGCTATGGAGAGGGCTATGCTCGGAGTTTCTCTGCGTGATAAACTTAGGAATGAGGATATCCGCAGTAGAACCAGAGTAACCGATATAGCCCAACGGATTAGTAAGCTGAAGTGGCAATGGGCCGGTCATATAGCTCGAAGAACCGACAACCGTTGGGGAAGAAAGGTTCTCGAGTGGCAGCCTCGTACCGGTAGGCGAAGTGTAGGGCGTCCCCCCACGAGATGGAGTGACGACCTGGTAAGACATGCAGGAAGTCGATGGATGCAGGTGGCTCAGGACCGTGCTTTGTGGCATTCTTTGGGGGAGGCCTATGTTCAGCAGGGGACTTGTGAAGGGCTGTAATGATGATGATGATGATGATTAAAGGACTTTCGAGGTTTCATGTATGAAGACCATAGAAACGTGATTTTTTCTGTATTGATATGTGTTTTGTTTACAGACTAAAGCGAAACCTGGATTAACACCCAATAAAATGATGCTGTGTGTATGGTGCGATTGAAAGTTTATCATGAGCTTTTACCGCCGGATAAAACCATCGACTCGGATCTCTACTACCAATAAATAATGAGACAAGCAAGAAATAGAAAAAAAAACGGCTGGCATTGGTAATCAGAAAAGGAGTGGTCTTTCATCATGATAACGCCAGATCACAAGATTAGTTATCTATTTGAGACTTTCAATACACACTAACATTCCTAAAAATCCAGTATTTGCTTGAGTACTTAAAACTGGTTTAAAAGTTTTAGTCATTATTTTCTTTTTTAGTTGCTTTTGTTCTTTAAAAGAAAGCTTTCTGGAGGTTTTAATATTTAAGTTTATAATTATTTTCCATTATAAATGGGATGACTAAATCCATATTCCTTCAAATCTC